AAGTTTCATTGAAATGTGATGATTAGTACTTGATTAGTTCAGAGCATGTATGTACAAAGTTTCATCAAAATCCAATGAGTGGTTGTTTAGATATCAGTGGAACAATCATGGAACAGCTAAAAATCAGCTAATTATCATGCAAATTAGGTAATTAATATGCATGTATTTTTACCAAAAACTAATCAAATCTGCGCATATGTTCAGAGCATCTATGTACCAAGTTTCATCAAAATCCAATGAGTGGTTCTTTAGATATCAGTGGAACAGTCATAGAACAGCTAAAAATTAACTAATTATCATGCAAATTAGGTAATTAACGAGCATGGATTTTTACCAAAACCTAATCAAATCTGCGCATTGGCCCAGAGCATCTATGCACCAAGTTTCATCAAAAACCGATGTATGGTTCTTGAGATAGCAGTGGAACAGTCGGACACACATACACACACACAGACACACTAACTGCAAAGACTCCCATTACCGGTATGTGCTTTGCACATGGGAGTCAAAAAAAGTTTGCTTCTTGTCATCGCATGCATCGGTTTAAAACCTGCACCTCGCACATTTGTTACTGTTGTAATATTGCATACCAGTTAGGTGTTCCAGAATGGTAGAATGGGAAAATGTTGGTTTGGATGGATGGATGTTTTGTCTATCTGAATCAACATTTGAGCATGTATTGGAAATATTTTTTTAATGAATATTAAACATTGAACATATATTTTAGCAGGATAGTATTTTCGGATATAACTGGTACAGTAATGACCAAAACGTATCAGTATGATGTGATTTGGGTTATCCCAAAGTGTCTGAAAAGCCATGAACCTGTCACTGTTGCGAGCTCAGCTCTTGGTTGGCCAACCATTCACGACAAACAAACCAAACACAAATGCAAGCTATACTCAATCCCACCATATTTATCTGATCTTCCCATTTCAAACTATGTTATCCATCTATTTCATATCTAAAATTATCACAGTCATTTATAATGCTAATAATATGGAATGATTTAACTTACTATTTTGTTGTCAATCATTTTTTTTCACCGCATTTATGCATTTTTGCATTGGTTTGTTTTATTGTGCATGAAAAAACATTTGCGGATGTACTGTTTTACATATATTACAAACAACAAATAAAAAATACATGAGTATTTAGTTTTTTTCTAAATATTGTTTCTATCATTTCTAATATTATGTTTCTTCACAATTATTGTAATGCTTCTCATTTAGATGCTATATAAATATCAGCAAACTGAGTTGATCAAAAACAATATTTTTCAAAACACTCCGGTAATAAATGTATATTTTTTAGCCACTATTGTTCCAATTACAGCCATCAACAATTTCCTAGCATTTCTTAGTAAGTAAAGACTATTTATTCCTGAAATCTAAACAACATCACCCGTTAATCACTCTGACATTTAACATGCAAGAACTGTCGAGAGTTTGTTCGAAACGATGTTGGATGCTTAGAAGTCAGTCATCGTTCAGTTTGCTCAGTAACCCTGCAAAATTACTATGATGACCAGGGTTCCTTTTAAGCATAGGTGGCATGCAACTTGCTCAGTGACTCACCAAGTTATGCAGCATAATGTTCTCACTTGCACAACTTTATGCTTTATGCCATACAGTACATTCACAAAATTAATACCTAACTTTACTTTTCTGGAGAAAGTAGCCAAGTGCTATATAAGGAATAACGTATTTTTCTTATGCTGGCTTGTATATAGCTTGTGTAAGAGAAGATATAGTGAGAAATAGATGTACCAATCACAAACTCTTGGGAGGCATCCAAATACTAATAAAGGGTAACAATTTTCCTTGTCATAGATTTCAAAGTTTTTATGACAAAAAAAAAAACAGCTACTAACACCCAATAAAAGCAAAATATAATTTATTTACAAAACAAACAAAAAATCTGGAGGCAGTAATTAACTCTGATCCATGTCCACATCTCCGTTTACTTGATGTCTTATCTTGAATTGATCAACACTGTCCTATTGAAAATAAAGAACATTATTGTTATAAATTAAAATAATACCTGCACATGTTTGCATTAGTGCTCAGTTACAAGTGAGTATTGGTGAGAGTATATTTATGGCAGACAAAAATTTTATTCATACTGAAACTATGCAAGCTTTCCTTAGTTAGTAGTATGTTCTACTAAATAACCGACCCTACAATCCACAGCAATGTGATCAAATATAGAATAGAATAGAATAGAATAGAATAGAATAGAATAGAATAGAATAGAATAGAATAGAATAGAATAGAATAGAATAGAATAGAATCTTACTTACTTCAAATGTAGTCAATACATGTTGACATAATGATGTTAAATTATTAAGTCCCCTTCTTAATATATCGATTGCAGGTGTTCCTGAAAAATAAATTTGATTATTACCCATGTTACAATTAAGCCACCTGAATAATATTGATAGTGATGCAAAATTGTGCAAACAAATAAAAATAGTTTGATTTAAAATTGAGTTTTTTTTAACTTGAATTACCAAGATACATTTTTAGTACTACATAATTCACATTGAACGACATGTTGTAAATGAATAAGACTTGTAACTTAGTATCAAGAGCCATGAAATAACTATGCATATTAACCACATATCAATGTAATAATTTTCTGTATTTTCTGAAAATAAGACGTATTCATAGTCTGGACCACACAGCTCAAAGTAAAAAAAAGTCAACACCCGAGTGGAGTGCCTCTGGTATACAGCCATCGAAAACTAAAATCACAAGCCATGCATGGCACAGTCCCTGTTAGTTATCGAATTTAAGATATATAGTTTTGTTTATAGTAATATAGCTGGAATATAACCATGTCAGGAATATGATTATGATGATTGTTTAACGTGAAAATGATTGACATTTGTATCTGATCATCAAACAAGTACTTGTCCATATTGAGAGATATTGCTCTGGAACAGCATTCAAAATCAGCCATTTTGAATACATGTATATATCTATAACATGATATATAACGAATATATAAAATTTGAATATAATCAGTCAAAGCATGTGAGAGCTGTGGCTCTAGAAGCCCAATCATTAAAACAAAATGACCGCCAGTCAGCCATTTTGAATCTGATCTGAAAAATAAAATGATGTGCATCAGAAACCCGTAATGTCTAATGTATGCACCAAGTTTGAACGAAATCCATCCCTAAATGTCAGAAATGCTTGATATTTGATGATTTTTAGCACAAAAATGGCCACCATTCGGCCATTTTGAATAGGATTGTCAAACCAATATATCTGTACCGGGGGTATATCTATGACATGATGTATAATGAATATTTAAAATTTGAAAATATTATCAGTCAAAACAAGTTAGAGATATGGCACAAGAATCACATTCATTAAAACAAAATGGCCACCAATCAGCCATTTTAAATCTTATCTGAAAAACAAAATTATTTGCATCAAGGTCCCATAATGTCTAATGTATATATCACGTTTGAACAAAATCCATCTGTAAACAGACGAGAAATGCTTGATTTTGATGATTTTTTAGCACAAAAATGTTCGCTATTTGGCGATCTTGAATCAGATCATGAAACAAATTGATGTAGATATGTATAATATCATGTATGATGTATGTGTGAAGTTGTATGTGTGAAGTCTGGACACACACACGCACACACGGAAGCCACAAGGCACAAGGGTCAAAACATAAGTCCCTGTTTTCGAACTGCGTCCGAACGGGGGACTAAAAATTACTACACTCTGTGTATGTCAAGAAGTCCCAGTCAGCCGTTCAATGACATTAAACTCACATTTCAATTATTCTTTGATATTAATATCAAAAATACGCAGAAACAAGCCATGTATCAAAACAAATATCCATGGGATATATCGACCTGTTTATTTTTGAAAAACTATTGAATTGTGTTTTGTTGGCTGCATTTATCAGTCGCCATTTTCGTCACCTGACATTTGCATATGAATAAAATGAAATGCCAAATTAACCAATCATTGGATAGAATTTTATACTGGTTGCTGCCTAAAAACAACTGGAATGAAGTGACAACAACTTTCTTGGCAAAGTCAGGACACATAATGTAATAATAACAGAATTCCATGACCTCGCCCTGACGCATTCACATTAGGTACTGTAATCTGGTGATTTAGATATACTGACTTGCAACAACTTTAGGTACTGTAATCTGGTGATTTAGATATACTGACTTGCAACAACTTTAGGTACTGTAATCTGGTGATTTAGATATACTGACTTGCAACAACTTTAGGTACTATAATCTGGTGATTTAGATATACTGACTTGCAACAACTTTAGGTACTGTAATCTGGTGATTTAGATATACTGACTTGCAACAACTTTAGGTACTATAATCTGGTGATTTAGATATACTGACTTGCAACAACTTTAGGTACTGTAATCTGGTGATTTAGATATACTGACTTGCAACAACTTTAGGTACTGTAATCTGGTGATTTAGATATACTGACTTGCAACAACTTTAGGTACTGAAATCTGGTGATTTAGATATACTGACTTGCAACAACTTTAGGTACTGTAATCTGGTGATTTAGATATACTGACTTGCAACAACTTTAGGTACTGAAATCTGGTGATTTAGATATACTGACTTACAATAACTTTAGGTACTGTAATCTGGTGATTTAGATATACTGACCTGCAATAACTTTAGGTACTGTAATCTGGTGATTTAGATATACTGACTTACAGTATATCACTCATGAAACTAACTTTTATATAGCAATATATATATATAACAAAAACACAGCTGCATAACGTGACAGATACGATCAGTGATTTATGTTCCTGGAAGTATGGATTTATTGTACTTTAGGAAATACCTTTCTTTTTTTATTAAGGTTTGTTTCATAGAAATGAGACTTGAGCAGTAAATGTGAAATTTAGCGTAGGTTTCAAAAATTATCTAGGACTTTGTTGCTATTCTATTGTGGGTGCAATTATGACACATAATTAACATTTTATTGACCTATATGAAAATGAAATATGACAATGAAACATAAAATCTTATTAAAGCCAAACCACTATTAACACTTTGAAGACTATATTTTTTTGCTGAAAAAATATAAATAAATCAGTTCACAAATTTTTCTATTTTTTTCTGGTTAGTTTTGAATCAGATAAAAGTTTTTGAAAAAATATGACAAAGAGGATGTAAGTTTATTTTATAAAAGACGAGTTTAAAACCTTAAAGGGACATTACCCAATAGCTGCGTTTTCCAAGTATGTAACATATTAATTAAACAATTGTGTAACTTTTAACAATTAAATAAACCCTCATTTATTTTACATACCTGTTGTTTGTATTCTGAAGTTAATTTTATTTTCAGTTGGATGAGGGATGCTATACCCACAGAATTGTACTTCTGGACTGCAAAACAAAGAGTAATTCACCATGGATTTGGTAAATGAACATTAACAGCTGCTCTAGTACATACATTGTAGGATACCAATCAATGTAGCCAAATGTAGCAATAATTTGTTTCAATGTAGGAAGTCAATAATAGGAATGTGTTACATGTACTTATAGCATAAGGGGAAATAACACTGCAATAGTGTACTGTAAAATTCCATACAAAACACTCAATAAGTCTTTTCAATGAAAATTAATTCCAGCTAAAATAAATTATTTTACAGTAGTTGCAGGTAGCTGCAATATAATTGATGAATATAATTGATCTGCAGTGTAAATTTGAACTTTTGATGACATTGAAGGGCATAAAGCTGACTTCGTTATAATTTATTATAACAAGCAGCCTCTTGGCTGAGATAGCTCCGCTGTTAGCAATGCACATTTCAATTAAAGAACAGAATGAACAATATGTATAGTATCAATGCAATGGGACTTGCTGTTTTCAACAAGAATTAAAAAATATCACTTTAAAATGATAAAAATAATCATCAAAATTAAATAATTGAAGATATCACTATGAAATTAACAAATCTGAGAGGTCCATATGTAATACCTATATAGGTAAGTAATATAAAAGCAATCGAACTTGTGGATTTTAACAAGAAGTTGAAAATATCACTTTTTACCAAAAATGACAAAAATATTCATCAAAATTAGAGAATTGAAGATGTCATTACAAAATGAATAAATCTGAGAGAGGTCCACATGTAGTACCTATATAGGTAATATCAAAGCAATTGGACTTGCGGTTTTTAACAAGAAGTCGAAAATATCACTTTTTACCAAAAATGACAAAAATATTCACCAAAATTAGAGAATTAAATATATCATTACAAAATGAACAAATCTGAGAGAGGTCCAATTGTAGTACCTATATATGTAATATCAAAGCAATTGGACTTGTGGTTTTTAACAAGCAGTCGAAAATATCACTTTTTACCAAAAATGACAAAAATATTCACCAAAATTAGAGAATTGAAGATATCATCATAAAATGAACAAATCGAAGAGAGGTCTACCCAAGGTACATATACACCAAGTATCAAAACATTCAGGCTTGTAGTTTTCAAGAAGAAGTCGAAAAAGTAAAACATTGACACGGACGACGACGACGGACAATCACTCATATGATAAGCTCCGCTGTCGACTTTGTCGAAAAGATACATTTATAAATCAAAATGGATGTTAAATTGACTAGGACATCACTGTTAGTTCAAATTAAAATTAGTTTAACATTATCCAATCAACAAGTGCCTCATTTCGAATAAGTAAGTGTTCACAGTTGCCACATGTGCAATATGGATAGAAAATGTTTAGCTTTTGAGCCAATCACTATTAAATAAATAAATTTGAATGATGATCAGTAATAATCACTTTTTTAAAATAACTTTATATCCAAGGTACATACTTCACTGTTTACAACAACTTTCTTAATATTTTTAAATACACAACATAATGCATATTTAATTCAAATCTTGATATTTCACTTACTCTTTCATAATAATATATCTAAGTGAGTTTCCCAATGTATGATCTTCTCCGTTCAAGACGAATGTGACACATGATCCATCCTCTATCTCGGTGTGCATCTGTATAAAATAAGAGTTGTGAGATGTACTTATGAGATGTTAGAGTTATTGATCACCGACACTAATAAAAAAAGTAAACTAATGTGACAGGTCAAATGCATTCACATTTTAATTAGCCTTGTAATTTACTTCACGCATGCGCAGTGGTGCTTAACTTGACATTCAGTCAGTTGGTCACTGAGATTTGCGGCGTGAGCATCGCTTTGAAACCACTGAGGGACGACAACCCATGAAGTATTTTCCATCTACTTTCCACGTTTATGAATTCACTTTCGGTAAGATGATAGCTAATATTTGAGACGTATTTTTTGGCAAATTTAGTGTAAACATTGTATAGTTCGTTAACTTGTAAAACACGAGTAGAAGCGTGTACGCCACGTGTACCCATTGTTTGCACGGAACAATGTTGAAAGCCTATTGCACCTGTTCATCGTGGTAATTAGTTACTCAGGATACATAAACTTATTATGAATTGTTCATTGTGTAGTTTGCGTGTAAAAAGAAACTACCGTTATGTAATTATATAGGGCGTCACTGAATTGTACTGGTTGGGGTGAGTTTATATACGCTTTACTCTAGTGCAATATTATTTCTGTGACTCGCATTAGATGTTATTTATTTATATTTATGAAAAGAGGAAGTCTCTATGCGTCGACTTAAGTCTATTGAGAGGTATGATTCAGTTTATTGTGTAGTTCGTACATTCAGTACTTACATAGTAGCCATAAACTATTGTATTTTGATATCATGGTTTCTACTTGGAATTATGATCTCCATACCTCCAATGACATTGCATTAATCTTTTCTATTGATTGTATTTATGTAGGTTTCAGTCGTGTTAACTTTAATAGTTGCTCATATTGGAAATTAAAAGAACGCATGGTGACTTCACATCTGCCTGGTGTCATATTTTTTGCGTTACACTACTATAAAAGAGTGTCCATGTAAACTCTAGAAAAACTCGTGAGGAGAGGAAAAATGGAAGCTGAATATGCCAGTGTATTTTTAATATGCATCATATATTTGTAAATTACGGACCATATAAACAACACATTACAATGACTGTAGCTAGGGCAATGGTTATATAAACCATTTTGAAGTGATAAAAAATGATTTAAAGGGCGGTAGTTGACACGCTGCGCAGTATTGGATATAGGTCCCATAGCAACGTATACAACGCAGGTAAAATACACTGTTTGTTTAAATTAAAACATGTGATAACAATCGCCCTTTAAACTATTTAGTTTGACATCGTACTTTTTGAGCCTTGTTTTAACCCAGTTAGGAGTTAATGGAAGGGCATTATTTTTTATTTGCTGTCAAATACGATAATATAAGTAATACTTTTTGTTTGTTTATTTTCTGACACACATTCATTTGTCAATATGTAGATGCTGTTTCTAGATGATAATTCATCAATAAATTGTTTTTTTCTGGAGACCCCCCGTACAATGGATGACCCACCCCTTATTTGAAATGCTAATATTCGATCACATCTACTGTGTACGTAATCATTATGAAATTGATCTTGAAATTATTATAGATATGACACTAGCTGAACATGTATCACCCAACCTTCACTTTTACTAATATTAACCCCCCCCCCCCCATCTCGCTCTCTCTTAGACCATGGAGCTCCATGCTTAACCACACAAACACGTGTGACACATCACTGCCACGGCAGATCGGTTTATTAAGCCATTGAGATAAACTGTGGATCACAAATCAAAACAGGTCACATTCAAGCCTTAATACAAAGACTACAATAAAACTGTGTTTGCGAAACCTTAACCCCTATACTTACCAATTCCAATTTTCTTTCAGGAACGACAACATCCGCCATTTTGTTTGTTTTTAGAAATAAACATTAACTTAGGTGGCCCTTTCATGTGACTCTGACGTCATGAAAACACGACTTTAGAAAGAGAGTGCAGACGTAATACAGACAGGTAAGATATTTTGTAATTATATGCGATTTTTGTCTCCTTATTAACGTTCAGGCTTCGTGGACCGAGATTTAGAAAAGTTCTGAAAATAGAGCCCCGCTCGACAATAATCAACTGAACTCACTAGTGTGGTGATGTCCACTTGAATCTGTCGCAGGAAATGATGATGGCGAAACATAACAACACGATATTTTCTGCTCATAGTCACTGGCACACTTTCTAAAATGGAGTGTGTCATTATGACTCTATAAATATATTTTTATTTTCAACAGCAATCATAAACTTCACAATATGTGCAGAAATATACCATCATTATATACATTACATGTACAGGTTACATTTAGACGTTGTCATAGTGGGCGTTACTTTTTCATTCGGTATTCGGTTGCCCACTTGCACCTCAAGATATCACTTCTTTAACAATGAAACCCTACAACATGGCAGTACTCCCAGGATGCGCCACAAGTTATCACTACTTTAGTAATGAAACCCTACAACATGGCAGTACTCCCATGATGCATCTCAAGCTATCACTACTTTAGTAATGAAACCTTACAACATGGCAGTACTCCCATGATGCATCACAAGCTATCACTACTTTAGTAGTGAAACCCTACAACAAGGCAGTACTCCCATGATGCATCTCAAGATATCACTACTTTAGTAATGAAGCCCCACAACATGGTAGTACTCCCATGATGCATCACAAGATATCACTACATTAATAATGAAACCCTACAACATGGCAGTACTCCCATGATGCATCTCAAGCTATCACTACATTAATAATGAAACCCTGCAACATGGCAGTACTCCCATGGTGCATCACAAGCTATCACTACATTAATAATGAAACCCTGCAACATGGCGGTACTCCCATGGTGCATCACAAGCTATCACTACTTAGTAATGAAACCCTACAACATGGCTGTACTCCCATGATGCATCTCAAGCTATCCATACATTAATAATGAAACCCTACAACATGGCAGTACTCCCATGGTGCATCTCAAGA